CTTGTCTTTTACTCCATGGTATATTCCCTTTCTGTCTGGATATGCTCTTATGTTGATACCACAGGTAATGTTAATCACTAAGTGTATAATATTTTTGTTGACATCACACTATAAGTCTCTTGCATAAATTGATTGTCGTTAAGTGTTGTGCAAGGGAAATTGCTCAGAAAATGCCCTATTATTCCTTGTATTGCACTTCAAATTACACTATTCTTTTGTTCGTCCTGTTTGATTGTATTTCCTGTAGGTTCATATTGTAGTTTATTATGTTATGCTCAGGGGTTTGCTAATTGGTGCAAAAAGGAGTATGTGCTCCCATATATCTGCTTCCTGAACATTAACTGTTACTTGAATTACAGCTACAGTGATCAATAACACTATCCGAGTGAGCAAGAGCAAAGTTTCGCAATTTATTATTTCATAAAGTTCGGCGCTAGTTGCAATTTAAGTCGGCAGTTCTCTTGTGATATTAGCTGTGCGTCAGCCCAGGAGATTATCGTGCTTCACAAATTACTGTTTGATTTGCCATCTTGATAGACCTTTTCATTCTGTCGTCACGGAACATTCGTGGTCTTTCGACTATTTATTACAAAGCATGACCAAGCGTGCCGAGCAATGCCAGACTCGTTCTTGCCAACGTAATGGGCCCTTTCACTTTCATTTTAGCAGAAAATTCCAAGCAGTTACAAAGCATGTCTTGCAAAATGATTGGCTCGTAAAGTCAGTGATATGAAACCCGCCGATGTTCATGGTGCGATTGTCTGTAATTCCCACAAAATCTTATTGGTATTTGAAGGCAGATGATGCGGTCAAAAATGTCAAAAACTTTACAGTAATGACGATGTCATGTCGTAAAAGTGGTCATGTTGAAGGTCGTTGCAAAAGGTCTATCGAGTTGAGTTTGTTTTTTTGTTTTTGCGGAATGGTCGGTCACATTTTTTTGCTAACAGGACCTGAACCAGCGCTGGACGTATCTGCAGACCCTCAATACTGAGCGCACAGATAAGCTCGGTTCTGCGCACGAGGTTCAACGATTCAATAGGTACATGGGTTGTCCGTGTCCGAGCAGGCAGTGCCGCCGTGGCTAGTGTTGCGGGGTCTCGGAATCAACGAAGCAATCTATCGCGCCCGATGCGAGACTATCGTTTGTGCGTGCGACGATTTTAACTGCCTTCTTCGGTGGTGCCGGCTAATCGATAATAGTGTCGCAAGTGCTAGAGGTACGCGCGTGGCATCCAAAGTGAAATCTCTCCCGCTGTGGAAAGATAAAATTTATTGCAAGGTTTTGCTAATGTTTTTTTTTTCAAAAGTACAATTAAAATTTTAAAATCTCAAGTCGCAGCAATGGATTCGAAGTTGCAAAACGGGCGATAGGGCGTTGATTTCGAGCCCTCACAGGCCATGCCCCGTGTAGACACGTGCACTGCCAATGGCTCCAGCCGGCTGCATCTCACATGTGGTCGCAAGTAGCTAGCTGACTGCTGTGGCAGCGTGCAGGTTTTCTCCACGGAGCTGGTGGCGTTGCTACTTGTTAACAAGCGGTGGCGGAAAGCTGCACGTGAACCCTGGGTGTGTTTGTCTGTGTCTCTGTGATGATCTAACTCTCTACTCGTCTCTCTTCTAATCGTGGTTTGTACGAGTGTGTGATTGTTACGTGGTTTGTACGAGTGTGTGATTGTTACGTGGTTTGTACGAGTGTGTGATTGTTAACGTGGTTTGTACGAGTGTGTGATTGTTAACGTGGTTTGTACGAGTGTGTGATTGTTAACGTGGTTTGTACGAGCGTGTGATTGTTAACGTGGTTTCTAAGAGTACATGACCGATTTGTTTGTTGTTGTCAGTGACCTGATGGCATGGGTCAACGGCATGATGTCTCTCGTCTCGTCCGACGAGCTCGCTAAGGATGTCACGGGCGCCGAGGCCCTGCTGGAGCGCCACCAGGTGAGAGATTGTCGCAACGGATCCCTGCACGCGCACGCGCGTTGACGACACACATTCGCTCGAGCTTGTACCGCGTTAACGTGGAATTTTTTAGGTGCTGTCGAACGACACGTTTCTGCGCCGGTTCATGTTGCGGTCGTAGCCTACGTGTTGTCTGATCGTGTGTGTGTCCGTGTGTGTACGGTAGACGATACCACGTTATGTGTTAACTAATACAATATGTGCGTGTAGCCATTTGTGTTGAGCTTTGTGCTAAATAGTGCCATTTAAGCACGAATGATTGCCTGTTGATTACTTTGTGTGCCTCAGGACACCGGCACGCAATGACAGCAATTTGCCGATTGTTGAATAACCCATTCACAGACTCACTTTTGTGTCAGGGTAAGAGTAATGGAATTGGGCTAGTCGTAGGATTAACTTCTATAATTTAAAAAATAGATTTTAAGGATGCTGGTGTACTGAGGCATGCAGAATAAGTGACAATTCATGGCTTTATAACTCGTCTGCATTTCAAGCACCCTTCATCGTGTTTAAAAAGACTTTCAATTATTTCATCTACCTGCTTGCTGTGGCTGTAAATCATCTACATGTTAACATAGATAGAACAAAAGCCAGTTTCTATTATGCAGATTCTTTTACTAACACGCCTACTAATGTTAAATTTATGTGTAATATGTCTGTGTAGTGTTCGGAGTAATGTTGGGCTGTTTAATTTATTTGCTCAAATATGGTGTCCGTGTTGATGTGTTTACTTGGATTCTTAATTGGCTGGGAGAGGATTCAAACAAGTAACAGGTGTGCGTGTGCGTGTGCGTGTGCGTGTGCGTGTGCGTGTGCGCCGTGTGCGCGCATGTGTGATTGTCGTTAAAAGTGTGATGCCAGAAGTGGGAGCTGTGTGTGGGAGCATGAGAGCAGAATGGCGCCCTCCCATGTCGGGTGACGTCATCGCTGATCTCGGGGCTCCTTGTCTTTTGTTTGTAGATGTATCGTGTTGAGATTGACTCCCGTTACCAGCTTCAGGTATTGAGCAGCGCTGTCGAGTCGCATGTCGCCTGTCCTTTTACACTTATTTGCTTAAAAGTTGCTCGTCCCGGTTATTAAGGCTGCTATTTCCAGCACTCATTCGTGATACTAATGATATATATCGCTGGTGTTTCAGGAGAACATCGCTGCTTCCGAGGAGATCGGCGAAGACCTAGAGCAAGTTGAGGTCATGCAGAAGAAGTACGATGATTTCCAGAAGGTAAAGAGCTTCTTCGATCTGGTCAGGTGATCAGCGGTGACAGCGTAGAGCTTCACACCTCACTGCTGTCAATTGTCTTGATACCAGTTTTTCTTCAGAGTCACGCGTAAAGGATAGTATCGTAACCTCAAGGGGACTGCAGTTATCTGTTTTAAATACCGTCGGTTTTTTTTTTGCGACAACCGTTTGATTCTAACAGCGGTTCTGTGCTGTTTGTCCAGCCTTGCTGGCGTGGGGATCGGTCTCCTGTAGCATGATATTCAGCTTGAGACTCGATGCGCTTGCAATCTTGCAGGATCTCAAAGCGAACGAGGTGCGTCTGATTGAGATGAACGAGGTTGCCACGAAGCTGGTGAGCATGGGTCAGACCGAAGCCGCCGTCAACATACAGACACAGATGGAGGTACGCACGGGGTGGTTGGGTCTCCTCACTCGTACAGGTCTCGTAATCGATCGCTCGCCTCCCTGTGTATTTCACAGGTTCGGTGAGCGTGCGGTTATCAGACCTCGCACATGTTGTGCATTGTCAGTGGGGCGTGTATTTAACTTAGTGCCGTCGAACAGTGTGAATATAGCGAGGAGCTGGATAGCCATGTTGATACCTTGTTTGACGAACTAGTGCCTTAAATGTGTATTCTTATTCCCTTGTCTTTTACTCCATGGTATATTCCCTTTCTGCCTGGATATGCTCTTATTTCTTTCATGTTGATACCACAGGTAATGTTGATCACTAAGTGTATAATATTTTTGTTGACATCACACTATAAGTCTCTTGCATAAATTGATTGTCGTTAAGTGTTGTGCAAGGGAAATTGCTCAGAAAATGCCCTATTATGCCTTGTATTGCACTTCAAATTACACTATTCTTTTGTTCGTCCTGTTTGATTGTATTTCCTGTAGGTTCATATTGTAGTTTATTATGGCTCAGGGGTTTGCTAATTGTTGCAAAAAGGAGTATGTGCTCCCATATATCTGCTTCCTGAACATTAACTGTTACTTGAATTACAGCTACACAGTGGTCAATAACACTATCCGAGTGAGCAAGAGCAAAGTTTCGCAATATATTATTTCATAAAGTTCGGCGCTAGTTGCAATTTAAGTCAGCAGTTCTCTTGTGATATTAGATGTGCGTCAGCCCAGGAGATTATCGTGCTTTACAAATTACTGTTTGATTTGCCATCTTGATAGACCTTTTCATTCTGACGTCATGGAACATTCGTGGGCTTTCGACTATTTATTACAAAGCATGACCAAGCGTGCCGAGCAATGCCAGACTCGTTCTTGCCAACGTAATGGGCCCTTTCACTTTCATTTTAGCAGAAAATTCCAAGCAGTTACAAAGCATGTCTTGCAAAATGATTGGCTCGTAAAGTCAGTGATATCACACCGCCGTGTCATGCGTGCGATAAGTTCTGTAATTCCCGCAAATTTCTTATTGGTATTTGAAGGCAGATGATGCGTGTCAAAAAATGTTCAAAAACTTTACAGTAACTGGGGGACGTGTCATGTCGTAAAGTGGTCCTGTAGCAAGCGTCGTTGCAAAAGGTTATCGAGTTGGTTTGTTTTTTAGCTCATCTGACATTAGTCAGATGCCATGTCTGTAGAATCGCATGATCGTCCGTCTGTCGTCAGTCCGTCGTCGAGCTGTCCGTCCGGCGTCCGTTCCGTCCGTCAACAGTGGGCACAATCTTAACCGCTCGACGTTCGGTCACGATATTCGGCACATTGGGGTGTGGATCGTCAAAACTGGTTGGGGCTGTCGAAGCTAGCGGGTCAAAGGTCAAAGGTCAAGAGGTGTAATAATAAGGGGACATTCACCCTTAACTTAGAAGGTATTAGGCCGAGGAAATGCAGAATTGCGGCACAAATCTAAACGGCTCGACCTAGGCTCGTGATAGTCGGTGTATGATCATGGTAGGAAAAGCCATCACTGTGCCGAACTTGGAGGTTCACAGGTCAAAAGGTCAGTGGGCACAGGCAGATTTTATGACATTTTCTGAGGACATGGGACTGACGTGTGCGTATTGAAAAACTTTTTTGTTTCAGCAGGTGACCTAGGCATTTTATGGCTTTATTTGAAATGCCATGAAATGCTCCCTTCTGCCGGACATGCGAAGAGTAAGTGGTCGGATAACCTTTTGACCCTCAAGAGGAGGGGTTAACATGGATTTGTTAACTGTTACTGTGTTTAGAAAGAATTGACTTGCCGGGTTTGCCTAGTAGAATCTATACATGCCTGGATGTATTGAGGCTACAATGTCACAGTGAATTTCAAAAGCTAAATTTGGTTAAAGAAGGTGTATGTTCCTTAAATCGTATAATGTCTTACGTCTTCGTGTAACTGTCAGTATGTTACACTGTAACGTATGCCACTGCAGTGGCCTTGCCTGTGCCAGGTGCATGTGTTGGTGCAGTTTTGCCTGCCGTTAATTGCTACAGGTGCCCCAGCTCTCTATGCCAATTTGCAGCCTTGTAGGCGTATGCGGTAGGTAAATTGGCATGAGTGCCTTACCTTTCTGTCTTGCAAATAGTTGTTGCCTACTACGTATGATGCGCGAGCTTCCATCTTTAATCTGAAGACACTTAAACGTACGCGCCATTCCGGTGGCAACTTTCATAACAGATCCCCAACGCAACGATTTTTTTGAGAAGGCTTCCTGATACATCCCTGCTGCATTCCACCTGTTGTTCGGCGGTGATATGTGAACACATTTGCGGGCTTAACAGCGCGTTTACTAGAATCCCACCACTCACCACAGAGTCACCGCAGTAGAGGTAGGTATGGCGCTGTCGCTCTGGCGGCACTGTTTGTTTTTGCGGAACGGTCGGTCACATTTTTTTGCTAATCAGGACCTGAACCAGCGCTGGACGGATCTTGCAGACCCTCAATACTTGAGCGCACAGATAAGGTCGGCTTCCTGCGCCACGAGGTTCAACGATTTCAATAGGTAACGATTGCGGTTGTCCCGTGTCCGAGCAGCAGTTGCGCCGTGGCTAGTGTTGCGGGGTCTCGCAATCTCAACGAGAGCAATCTATCGCGCCCGATGCGCAGACTTATCGTTTTGGGCGTGCACGGACTTTAACCTGCCATTCTTCGCGTGGTGCCGGTAATCGATATGGCCGTGTCGCAAGGTGCTAGAGGGTACTCTTGCGCGTGGCAGTCGCCATCCAAAGTTGAAAATCTCTGCCGCTGTGGGAAAGACAAATTTATTGCCAAGGTTATTTCTAATGTTTTTTCAATATAATAATTACGATAAAAAACCCGCTACAATTTAAAATTTTAAAATCTCAAGTCGCAGCCAATTGGATTCGAAGTTGCAATCGCGGTGAATAGCAGCGGCGTTGATTTCTGAGCCCTCGCAGGCCATGCCCGTGTAGACACGTGCAGCTGCCGATGCGTCCAGCGGCTGCATCTCACATGTGGTCGCCAAGTAAGCTAGCTGACTGCTGTTGGCAGCCGTGCAGCGTTCTTCTCACGGAGCAAGTGGTGTGGCGTTGCTACTTGTAACAAGCGGTGGCGGAAAGCTGCATCGTGCACCTGGTGTGTTTGTCTCTGTGTCTCTGTGATGATCTAACTCTCTACTCGTCTCTCTTCTAAGTGTCTTTGTCTTTTCTTTCTTCGTGATGACATTTTTTTTGCATTTCAGCAAAGCTCGTGTCATGAGAGACGCAACAACAACAACTAATTCTATTCCTACAATAGCTATTAACACAGCCATGCATCCCCTACACCCTCACGGTATAAAACAACAGCGTTGGGTAGCCGTAAGTTGTTTGAAGCGACATTTGGATTTGCTTGTGTATTTCATTTTCGATAGGAATTGAACCAGAGTTGGCAACACATGCAGGCTCTAAATGCAGAGCGCCTCGCATATCTCGGTAACGCTCATCAATTGCAGCGCTTCCATAGGTAATAACGACAATAATAGTCGATGCACAGGTGCTGTGCACATTTGGCACGACTGACTGGCTTTTGGCTTGGAAGACTGTATGGCTTGCCACGTTCACGTCACGGAAATGTCACTGCCGCCACATTGGGAGCGCGCCGTCGGCGGCCGGCGCGTTCGTTGTTAGAACGTTGGCTACACGAGCACCCCTTGTACCAGATGCCAGGGAGCGTTACCACACATATTTACTGCAGGACGATCAGCAAAATTTTTGCCTGCTTTTGGCTTTGGCTTCAGGAAATGCACTCTTTCTGTGTATGTAGCATCAGCGCAGAGCTGTTCTCTCAGGGGGGAAGCATGACCAGTGCCATCGGCAGCTTTCCTCATGTGTGTGTCATGTGTTTGAAAAGGTCCAGGGGCATTGTGGTAGGCTGTCGATGTTGTAAAGTATGGCTGCTTCGTATGATTTCCCACGACATTGCCGTTTATCATGCAATATGCTGTATATGAAAGTCGTTAGTGGGTAACTTCAGATAGCATATATTCAGCACAATGATGTTCCACTGGGAAACATGTATTTATAAACTCGTGTGCAAGCAATTTAGGAATGGTTGTTTGGGTCGGTGAAAGGTGCAAGTGAGCAGCAGGGATATTATATTTCCATTGATCACTGCTATATTTCACATACAGAATCACCACAGCAGTTGAATTGCATGTAGCATGCCTTGCTCTCTATTCAGACTTGATAATCAGCACATCGAACATGTGCATGACTATGTCTTGATGTTTCTCTGTGCAAGAAAAATTATCCCTTTAACATGCCTTTAGGTTTCAGTGTTATTTCAATTTTCAAAATTAAAAAAAAAACGCAAAATTTCCTCAATTTAATCTTTGTCAGTTGTCAAACACATGCCGTAAAGTTATTACGGACATGCATTTGTGGAGCAAATAGACCTTTTCAGACCCAGTATTTTCGATGTTTAGCTAGTTTCGGCAAGCTATTTAAGCATAGTTAAATGCGCACACTGAAATTACGTTGGTTCTAAAAGTCAAGTGAAAGTTTTGAGGGGAAAATTGCCCATGAAAAGGTCTATTGCATCACTTTTTTCCCCGCGAGGCTGTTCGGAAAAGTATGGAAGGTTAGATAGAGTGCGCGAACCTCTGTCGCCATGTGTAATAAGTGATAATAATGATGATATTATTAATAATAATATCTATCATTATTATTAAGACTGTCATAGTGATAATTTATTTATTTCTATTGTGTGTGTTACTGAATATATTCATATGTGCAGCACAGTATATAAAACAGTACTGCAGCACAGTAGAACTGATGGAATAAGTAGCGATAAACTATTTACTAATGAATTAACTACTTAATTTACAACGCGGCGTGTGTGTGTGTGTGTGTGGCAGAGATGCTGAGGAGACGATGGACTGGATCAACGAGAAGGACAACGCGCTGAACACGGACGACTCTGGGCGCGACCTTGCCACCGTGCAGACACTGCAGCGCAAGCACGAGGGCCTGGAGCGAGACCTCGCCGCCCTCGGTGACAAGGTGAGTTAAACTTACCCCACCCCACCCTCCACCACCAGCCAGCCACCCACCATCATGTCGTAGCCCTACGTAGCTGTACATAACCCCGCGTAGCAGTGTGTAGCCCTACGTCGCTGCGCATAGCCACAAATATTGGAATATAGACAGACCCATGCGGCAGAGGCAAGAGTCTGCTCACTAATTGCTGATCGGAAAATACGCAGTACAGAGATTGCATTTGCGTCTCGGGACTCCTCTGAGCCCTGGAAAAATCCTGGAAAGATCCTTGAGAAGTGCATTGGTTTAGAGAGAGTAAGGTGTGCAGGGGACCCCCCCGCCCCCATATCTGGCGTTCGGCTTTAGAGAGACTGACATTGGTGTTAGAGAGAGAAAGGTGTGGGCAGGAACCCCTGTTTTGTTTTTTTTTTGTTTTTTTTGGTCTGTGTCTGACACTGGTTGCTTGTCGGCGAGCAGGAAAAGGAGATGACGAGCTGCCTAACGGCGCAATCATCGCAGAACCACCCATGAAGTCGCGAGGCGCGTGCTGGCAGCGAGACAGAACGGAGATCAACGAGGCTGGAAACACGCTGACGCAAGGCGCGCCGAGGACGCAAGTCCCAAGGCTGCTCGACTCCTACGACTTCAGCGATTCCTCAGCGACTACCGGAGGTAAATCTAGCCGCCGAACGCGGGGTCGCGATCGGGTCGTGCGTGTGAATGCTACGTGGTTTGTACAGAGCGTGGGAGAGTTACGGGATGCGTACAAGTGTGTGAATGTCGTGCGATGTGTATGATTGTGTGAATGGTGCGGGATGTGTATGAGTGTGTGATTGTTACGTGGTTTGTACGAGTGTGTGATTGTTAACAGTGGGTTTGTGGCGAGTGTAGTGATTGTTACGTGGGTTGTACGAGGTGTGATGGTTTGAACCGTTGGTTTGTACGAGCCGTGTGATTGGTGTACGCTGGTTTGTGGCGAGGTGTGATGTGTTAGCGTGTTTGTAGCGAGGCGTGTGATGTGTCACGTGGTTGTTGTGGCGAGTGTGTGATTGTTTAACGTGGTTTGACGAAGCGTGTGACTTGTTACAGTGTTTGTACAGTGTGTGATTGTTACTGGGTTGTAGCGAGCATGTGATTGTTTACGTGGTTGTAGCAGAGCTGTGTGATTGTTACGTGGGTTGTACGAGTGGTGATTGTTACAGGTTTGTAACGAGCGTGTGATGGTACAGTGGTTTTGTCCAGTGCGTGATTGTTACGTGGTTTGTACGAGTGATGTGATTGTTAACGGGTATTGTAGCGAGTGTGTGATTGTTAACGTGGTTTTGTACAGCGTGGAATTGTTAACGTGGTTTGTACGGAGAATCGGAATTAGTTACGTGGTTTGTACGAACGAGAGTGATTGTTAACGGGTTTGTACAGCATGTGATGGTTACGGGTTTGTACGAGCGTGTGATTGTATACGTGTTTGTAACGAGCATCGTGATTGTTACGTGGTTTGTAGCGAGCGTGTGATTTGTTAGCGTGGTTTGTAACGAGTGTGTGATTGTTACGTGGTTGTGTACAGTGTAGTGATTGTTAACGTGTTTGTACGAGTGCGTGTAAATCTGTTTAACGGTGGGTTTGTAAGAGTGGTGATTGTTACGTGTTTGTACGAGCGTGTGATGTAACAGTGCTTCTAAGAGATACATGGCGCGATTTGTTTGTCGTTGTCGAGTGACCTGAACATGGCCGATGGTCAACGGCATGTGTCTCCGTCTCGTCCGACGAACGCTCGCTAAGGGATGTCACGGGCGCCGAGCCGCTGCTGGAGCGGCCACCAGTGAGAGATTGTCCGGCAACGGATCCCTGCACGCGCACGCGCATATTGACGGACGCACATCCGCTCCACAAAAGCTTGTACCGCGTTATAACGTGGGATTTTTACTAGCTGGTCGAACGAACGTTTTCGCGCCGTTCATGTTGCGGCGTAGCCTACGTGTGTCTGATCGTGTGTGTGTCGCCGTGTGTGTACAGGTAGACCGATACCACGTTATGTGTAACCTAATACAATATGTGCCGTGTAGCCATTCTGTGTTGAGCTTTGTGGCAAATAGTGCCATTTAAGGCACGAAAGATTGCTGTGATTACTTTGTGTGCCTCAGGAGCACCGGAAATGCAACATGACAGCAATTCTGCTTGATTAATGAATAACCAGTTCACAGCGTCAGTTTCGTGTCAGGATAAGAGTAATGGAATTGGCTAGTCGTAGGATTAACTTCTATAATTTAAAAAATAGATTTTAAGGATGCTGTGTAGCTGAGGCAGCAGAATAGAGTGACAATTCATGCTTTATAACTCGTGCTGCAATTTCGAAGGCACCCTCATCGTGTTTAAAAAGACTTTCAATATTCATCTAAACCTGCTTGCTGTGGCTGTAAATCATCTACCGTGTTAACATGATTAGAAAAAAGCAGTTTCTAATTATGCAGGATCTTTACTAACACGCCTACCTAATGTTAAATTAGATTTTGTATGTGTAATATGTCTGTGTAGTGTTTGAGTAATTGTGGCTGTGTTAAATTTGAGTTGGCTCAAATATGGTGTCTGTGTGAGGTTTACTTGGATCCTTATTGTTGGGAGAGATTCAAAACAAGTAACAGTGTGCGTGTGCGTGTGCGTCGTGTGTGTGGCATGCGTCTGTGCGTGTGTGCGCGCGAGTGGATTGTCGTTAAAAGGTGAATGCCAGAATGGGAGGCTCTGTTGTGGGAGCAATGAGAGCAAGAGATGGCGCGCCTCGGCATGTCGGGTGACAGTTCATCGCTGATCTCGGGCTCCCTTGTCTCTTTGTTGTAGATGTATCGTGTGAGATTGACTCCGTTACCCAAGCGTCAGAGTAGAGCAGCGCTGTCGAGTCGCATGTCGGCTCTGTCCTTTTACACTATCTGCTTTCTGACTCCTCTCTCTCTCTCTCTTTCTCTCTCTCTCTCGTGACCGCTGCCCTGGTCACACCATATCTGGTCTTGTGTGAGCATGGACGAAGGTAGAGGTGTTGCCAGATGCATGGGGAAAAATGACGAGCGTTTCTGACGAGTATCGACGAGATGAATGGATCATTCTCGGGTTGTGTTACTGAAGTATTGCTAGCATTGCTAGGTTGTCATATGTTTCATGCTGACAGGAGGTAGTAGGTCTCCTGCCGCTTCTACTGTAGCCAGACTTGTGATTCGTAGTGCTGTTGTGAACATTGGGGCGTTGCACCTTTCGACGTTCTTTCGTGTTTTACATGTTATCGATTTGTTATAGTGTTACTAGAAGTCTCCTGTGCATTTTTTTCTGTCTGTTCCTTTGTTTGCGTGTGGGTGTTTTGTGCGTATTGTGTTTGTGGTTTTTTTTGGTATCTAGAGTAGTTTTGTGAGCTGTGCCTTTTGCATTATCATGTGCTAATTATGACACAACTAAATGCAAGAATTTGGCAGTTTTAAAGTAATCATGATAGAACTACAGTCTACTTATTTTTTTATTAAACATTCTAACACAAATAACTAACTATGTTTCTAACAGTAGTTTATTTGCCATTGTTAATTTAGTGTTTAGTAACGTTTGCTGTCATCGACTGGTTAATTTATTGAATTGTTTTAACATGTACGTTAAGAACATCAGAGGCTATGTCCACCATGTGCTGCACATTATCCACTTGTCTACCTTATAACTAGGCTGGGAGCACTACTATGCACCATCCATCACCTAAAATTCCTGCCATCTGATCCCTGCTCTTTTAGATGCCAGTGGCATGTGGAATGCTGTTATGTCTACCTCACCTGCATTAACCGGCAGCATTCCTGTTATGTTCCAAAACCTGCAAGCATTTGTTCTCAATCTGTGGCAATCACTCCTGTTCGTAACCTTATATCAACCCTGCGTCGATGAAATTCTGCTTATTAATATCACAACGGTGTTCGTTTACGTAATGTCTCTGCCATGTATTTTTTGTTTGTTTGTCATTTGCTCATTCGTGCAGGTCTGGGATGGGCATCCTTAGTAGTGACTTCCTCGACCAACACCTTACTAGAACCTCCCTCCATCACCAACACCTGAGTAGTGTCTCCCTCCATCACCAACACCTGAGTAGTGTCTCTCTCCATCAACACCTGACTGTTGTCACCACGCCCTTGGCTGAGCAAGCCACGCCAAAAATTTCTTACACATACAACCATCCCCTCCTCCATTCTGTAAGAGGAGGAGGCTGTAGCCAGCAGTAGGCTGGGACAGCAATAACAGCACGTGTGTTCAACACTAACCACGTAGCGCGGGGACACTGAGCGATCAGCTTGTCGAACGTGCGCGGGGCAGTGCGTCCCCACATCGCGTAGACACGGTCCGGGGGGCCTGCGTGTCGCGCGCGCGTCTGACGTTCTCTTGTTTCCGCCGCAGGAGCACCGTACGGAGATCGACGCGCGCGCCGGCACCTTCCAGGCGGTCGACATGTTCGGTCAGCAGCTGCTGCAGGACGAGCACTACGCGAGTCCTGAGGTGGAGGAGAAGCTGCAGGAGATCAACATGGCGCGCGAGGACCTTGAGAAGTAAGCATCGCGAGGGGGAGGGGCAGCAGCTGCTGCAGGTAGGGCGGAGGGTGTAGTGTGGGGCGAAGTGATTACACACTCTGGGGTTCTACGGTGACTACACACCCTAACTGTGTGTTGTGGGCTATCAGGGTGACTGCGCACCCTGTGTGTTGTGGGCTGCTACCCCGACCGCGTGCGTTGCGTACGTCGGCGCGACATCTAACCCCCGTCGTTCTCTTTCCCTCTGCCCCCCCAGCGCGTGGGCGGCGCGTCGGCAGCAGCTGGACCAGTGCCTCGAGCTGCAGCTGTTCTACCGCGACTGCGAGCAGGCCGAGGCGTGGATGGCTTCGCGCGAGGCCTTCCTGAAGAGCGACGACGTTGGCGGCGGCGGCACGGCCGACAGCGTCGAGGCCCTCATCAAGAAGCACGAGGACTTTGACAAGGCGATCAACCAGCAGGAGGAGAAAATCGGCGCGCTCAACACGTTTGCCGAGCAGCTGATCGGCGCCGAGCACTACGACGGGCCGGCGATCGACGACAAGCGCAACCAGGTGCTCGAGAGGTGAGTAACGAGCCCTGAGGGAGCGACGGTGTGTGTGCGTGACTGCGTGTGTGTGTGCGTGCGTGCGTGTGTGTGTGCGTGCGTGTGTTGTGTTGTGCTCACACGTGATGCCATGTACCAAAGTGGTGTAGTGCATTACCATGCCTGTCTCTCTTCTCTCTCTCTCTCTCTCTCTCTCTCTCTCTCTCTCTCTCTCTCTCTCTCTCTCTCTCT